CGCCGGCGAAACGGTCCATTAATTATCGACGGACGTCAGATTGCTTTCCCCTAACAATCTCTTCGAAAAATCGAGTCGAGCATGCGACCGGGCTAGCTGTCAACGTCACCCGGCTGAATTACCAATAAAATACGGACGAGTCGCGGCTCCGTTGAAACAACACGGGGTTAACGCGAGCGCGCGGCGTTCCCTCTCTCTCTCTCTCTCTCTCTCTCTCTCTCGTTCTCTCCGGCCCCCTCTGGCCCGCGAAATGCGAGATAAAATAACTCGAGCGGCCGAGCGGATCCGATGCTCGGCTATCGATACACGCGGGGGCTCGTCGATGAAAATATCAATCGATTCGCCGGACCCCGTCTCTCTTTGTGTATCGAGCTCTCTTCGCCGCTCGGCCCCGACCCCTCTTTCGCCGGATAGAGAGGTCTGGGGTCCGGGGCAGCCGGCGGCGCAGTGTTTACCGTTTTCCTTTCTGACGAAAACGGAGGGAAAAGGAAGCAGAAGAAGTCGTTGATTCCGTGGGACGTGACTGACCGGTATGTAAGCAGTCACGTTCTAAAATCGTCCTTTTCGTACGGCTGGCTGGCCATCGATCCTGCAGAAAGGAATTGGGCCAACCGGCGCGCTGACGTATGCTCGCACCCCTCTCGATTATTTCTCGTCCTCCGGCAATTATTCGTACATCGACTCCTCCGGCCACCCTCTCGCCCGCCACCCTCGCCGTCTCCGCGCGGTCCCGTCGTCCGGTTCTCAGCGATTTTTCCGCCTCTCTCTCTCTCTCTCTTTCTCTCTCTTTCTCCCCTCCCCTCGCCTTTCGGCGACGGTGACTCTTATAATGTCGTTGCTCGTTACGCGGAACGGGCTCGTTGGAACGCTCGCGCTGACCCGTGTGTACGTACAAGTGGAAATTTATCGCTGGAAATCTGTGCGACGAAAACGTGACGCGTGCTCGTTATTCTCTGCTCGCCGACACACGTGCGTAAATCGTTACACGGGGGGTATGGGGAACGGGGGAGCGGGGAACGGTGTGTCGGAACAAGAGCGGCCGAGGCGGGGGGTCGCGAGCGGGTCGAACGGGTCGCGGACGATCCGCAGCTTAGCTATTTGTCGACGTCCTCGTTGCGGCAAAGAAGGAATCGAAGCAGCCTCGCTAGTCCTACCACTCTGCTGCTACCATCCGATCCCCTCTGCCCTTCCCCCCTGCCGCCCCACCGGGAAGACTTGTATTCCTGTCACGGAAGCGAGGTCGCGAGTATTCTCGACACGGAAGCGAAAGGTAACGATGTCTTTGCGGGAAACGACATCGACGTGATATCACACGTGATTCCGTGTAGCTACATGCGGCACACGCTAGACGCTGCGCTTCCTTTTGCCACCTCGCTTGTATTCCGACGGCGCCGTCGCGCCGCTGAACCCGGCCCCAGCCTGCCGCTTAATGAACATATTAATATACATCATGGGGACTCTCTTTCCGGGAATATCCCGTGGAGCCGTGATCAAGCGATCCCGACGGTCGGTCGAGCGACCCGCGAACCGGATACCCGGCAGATAGGACTATTGTCGGTCGGTCTACAGGGTGTTCCAAAAATGTTTCGCAATCCGGAAATGGCGAGTTCCTCGGATCATTTGAAGCAGCTTCTTCCTTTACAAAAATGTTCTCCGAGGCACCGTTAACGAGTTATTAACGGAAAACAGTGACCAATGAAAGGCGAGCTCAGCTGGCGCTGGGCGGCCGAGCCAACAGCGCCAGCGGTCGAGCCGCCGAATTCCAGCTCAGCTGGCGCTAGGCGGCCGAGCCAACAGCGCCAGCGGTCGAGTCGCCGAATTCCAGCTCAACTGGCGCTAGGCGGCCGAGCCAACAGCGCCAGCGGTCGAGCCGCCGAATTCCAGCTCAGCTGGCGCTAGGCGGCCAAGCCAACGGCGCTTCGAATGACCCGAGGAACCCGCCACTTTCGGATTGCGAGACATTTTTGGGACACCCTGTAGTCTGGATCACCGCGAGGGAAACTTCGAAACCTCCGTTACCACGACTGTATCGCCTTTGGTTCTCTTACTTTCGAAACTTGCGACTACTCCGCAGTGCTCTCTCCGTGGTAACGGTGTAATGGACAGGGCACCTGCTGGCGCGCCATCCAGCAGATTTCGATCCGATGGTTCGGAGAGGGTGTCGTGACAACGGGAAAGTGATAACTGGTTTCGCGCGACCCAATTCTGGATAATCTAGATCAAGCGAACCTAACTTAATAGACGAAGGTTAGCTCGCAGAGATCCAGTTCAGCGGCACTTAGCAGGATCTAATTCGGATCTAAGAACCCAACCCGGGCGTAACTCGGGAAAACGTAGCTCGGCATAAGACTAGTTCGAAAGGACCTAGTTCGGCGAGGTCTGGGTCAGCGAAACCTGGCTATTCGAGTCTTGGGGCTTCGGCCCAGAAAAGCTGAACTCGAGTCTTAACGCAGACGTAACTTGTAAGGTCCGGCTCGCGAAGCTCTGGCTCCGAAAGCTCGAACTTAAGATTTCGTATAAGTGAAGCCTGTTGATAGGTTTTCAATGGTTGCGACATGTCTGAAAGTAACACTGTTTAAAGAAGTTGTTAAAACTCAAGATTAACAGCGAATTGAAATCAACCAGCAGATCCCATAATTAAATAGAAATTCATTGAATAGAAATTTATTAAACAGTTGTTACTCTTTGATCTTCAAGCGTTCTGAAGCGTTTCAGCGTGTGCGTACAGCTCAGACCAAACTCGTAGTTGGCCAAAACTAGATCAAGGAAAATCTAACCTAACAGCCGAGCGTGGCAAGATATCTAACCCAGGAAGGTTTAGCTCAAAGAGGTCAAGCTTAACAGGCTTTGATTCAGCAAAACTTAGCTTAACGAGACTTAACACGGTGACGGCAAATTTAACAGAGCCTAATTCAGGAGGACTTCGCCTGGTAGGAGCCTAACCGAGCAGGCTAACAGTATCTACCGCGGTGAAAGCTAAACCGGACCTAACACGAGCAATTTATTCCTGTATTAATCATGGTTTCGCGCAGTCTCCAGCTGTCGAACATGTTTCGCGCCTAGCAGGTTGCACTCGAAGAAACTCGGTCCAGGTCCGCGAAAGACGCTTTCGTTTACTGTTCCACTGGGTTTGCCGTTCTGCTGTATCGTTGGCGTCCGCGTATACTGTTACTGGAACAAGTACAGCGACTTCGGAAAACGCCGTAGGATGCCAAACAGAAGCGCCCCTGGGCATTGGAGGTCTGCAGTTCAGCAGCGGGCCAGGATTGATCCTTTTCCAGTAGCTCGAGTAAGCAAGCAACGCGGCTGGCAAGTCAAATCGAGATACGGGTAACGATGTTCGCGTACCCACCGTTCACGGACCCGGAAGCGATGCACCAGCTCCCTGCAGCGATTAACAGCTTCAACCTCTCTCATTATTATATTAACGCTTGTGAGATTGGTTGATCGGGATCGAAATATATTCCGGAAAGATGAGAGTGTCCGAAGACTATAACATAGCGAGTCAAGGTCAAGATCTGATCTACTTGCACCTGTACATATTTCTATCTTTCGATCGAGTGTCCTTAAAACAATCGGACCAGCGATACAACTTTTATAAACAATTACACTATACAACAACATTTTCTCTGACAACTCTATAACATGGGAACATATCGAAGCTAGATAAGCTGATTTTAATGAAATTTACGTCAGACACAATTTTTCGAAATACATTCGGCATATACAGGGTATCTCAGTAACTCTGTTACTACTTATTAATTATACGTCGAAATTCTTCAGGAACAAATTGTTTGGTTCAAACGGACACATGTTGTGGTGGAAATCATTTTTTTGTAAAGGTTATATTTTTTGAGATTTCAAGGTCATCGACGTTTTTTCAAATGGGATTACATATTTCCATCATTATATCATGATAGCTAAGATCAAGACGAATCTAATAACCTATGATACCATGACCTTCATGTGACCTTGAATACAAAAAATAAAGAAATTTTTAGACATGTCGATATTGAAAGGATAAAAACAGTCCTCAAAGTTCCGAGTCGGAAACACGTTCCTTCAGATGTCTCGTTTAAGCAGATTTTGTAAAAAGTTATTTGATTACTTGAAATTGCAAAGTAAATTTGATTGCTTTGCAATTTCTCTTATTTATTGTCAAGTTATTTTCAACGTAAACTCGAGTGTGCGATCGTTGATCCAAAATAGAGGATACGTGCTTTTGGAGTTTTATAGCTTTTGCCATTTAAGAAGAATTCAGCACAATAAATGATGAAGTATTTGGGCTCGTTTTGGACAATAACACTGTGATTTGTGTCGTTAATTGCTTCGAGATAGTAGCTAGATAGTAGCTAGCGTGGATCGATATATGAGCCGTTTATTTCGAAAGTGGCATAAGTCACTTTACCGTAACGAAAAGTGGTGATTTTTTAATGTTTATACGAAATTATTTATACTTAGAAAAATATCAGTATCCTGAGATAACAAATACAAGTAAATCTTCTCGAAAGTTAGCATCCACATTTTTAAACGTGTTAAAACGCAAACCCTTAAATATATCGACTTAAAAACAAAGTGACTTATGCCGCTTTCCCCTCGTAAAACTTACAATTATAGGATCGCGGAATATCGATCTCCGTAACGTATTCCAAGGTCATCGAAATTGGCGAACGCGTCCTCTCTCACGCAAGGATAAAATGAATTGATTCGTGAATCTAATTTGCTATTTGTTTTCTTTTTATAGCTTTGACTGCATATTTCAAGATCAGCGCAAGCCCTCTTTACATAATTATCGAGGTCTCAGATGTTGGGGGAAGCACAGTTGTCCCGGAATGAATCGAGTATCAAGGCCAGCTATCCTTAAACTCTTGTTCCGAGAAAAATGGCGGAGGCTCTTACCAGCACAGTCGTTCGCAGGACAATAGGGCGATACACAACTAGCGCTGAATGGGTTCCTTATTAACTAGGTCGGGTTTCCGCAGCGGACAGTGGCGTCATACCTACTTATCTCTTCCTTATTCTGAATTGAAGCTTCTACTGCGGCTTCGAACTGGCAGCAGTCCTCGATCCCAGGCTCCGACATTTCAAAACTCGAGGGTTGATCTAAAAGACAATGTTACTTTGAGTTTCCATCGCACTGGGTACAAGACAAGCGGATTTATTTAATTATAAACACATTGACTATCGCGACCACAAAATCTTCGTAGAATTAAAGTATTTAATTGAACGAAATATAAAAATTAAAAAATTACATTATTCTCAACATCAATAACAGTTTCAATATTTTTATGTTTTGCGAAATCTAATTTTAGGAAGACGTAACTGGCGTAAAAATTAATTTTCGAATCGGAGCAAATGTTTCCGTCGTGCACATATCGATGGCACGACGGTCAAAATATTGTAAATATTTTTGAAGTTTTTTTTATATATTTCAGATGAATATGTAGGTAAATTGTAATAACGCGAAGCTAGAAACGTAGGAAAAGTGTTCGCAGAGATAGCTCGTAAAATGCAAAGAAAAATTTTGATAATGGAGATCTTAAAAATGTCATCTCTTCGTCTTTAAAAAATTAAAGATTTCTAACGTTAACTGGACATCGCGGTGTAAGGGTTTACGTGAACGGCATTGCTCTGAAAGTTTCTGCGACCTGTCCAACTGCGAGTATTACCCTTGAGAGTAGAACTTATAAGTGTCCACAGAGCCAAGTGCAACCCTCCAATAGCTATTATTCTTAAATAAATGTCGCCGCTACGCCCGAGAATATAAATTACAAGGGTTCTCTCTCAAGTGGACACTGGTGTGAAAACAAGTTTGAAGAGTCGTTCTCGCGTGGACACGTAGCATTATGCTTGTTCTACTACTCTCTGTCTGTCGTACACTCGTGCAGCCTCAGTTAGTAGGCACAGTAAATTCTCCCCAATTGACGCTCAGCTTGCGCACAAAAATGGACAATTTGGGAAGCGGTGATACGGTTATTCGAGCTTTGCGGCTCGTGCTTATGGTTGTTGACAACCACTGTGTGGTTCGTAGTCGATACACTAATGCATCTATAGTGATAGCAATTCGAGTAACGTAAGTAGATTGCAGATTTTGTTGGAAAATAAAAATGTTCCGCATCTTTTACAAAATACAAGCGTCAACTATAGTAAATTCTCCGCAATTGTCCTTCGGCTTGTAGACAAAAATAGACAATTTGGGAAGCGGTGATACGATTATTCGAGCCTTGCGGCTCGTTTTTATAGTTATTGATAACCACTATGTGGTTCGTAGTAGATACACTAATGCATCTATAATGATAGCTATTCGAGTAACGTAAGTAGATTGCAGATTTTGTTACAGATTAAAAATGTTCCGCGTTTTTTACAAAATACAAGAGCCAACTATAGTAAATTCTCCGCAATTGTCCTTCGGCTTGTAGACAAAAATAGACAATTTGGGAAGAGGAGATACGATTATTCGAGCCTTGCGGCTCGTTTTTATAGTTATTGACAACCACTATGTGGTTCGTAGTCGATACACTAATGCATCTATAGTGATAGCAATTCGAGTAACGTAAGTAGATTGCAGATTTTGTTGCAGAATAAAAATGTTCCGCGTTTTTTACAAAATACAAGAGCCAACTATAGTAAATTCTCCCCAATTGTCCTTCGGCTTGTAGACAAAAATGGACAATTTGGGAAGAGGAGATACGATTATTCGAGCCTTGCGGCTCGTTTTTATAGTTATTGACAACCACTATGTGGTTCGTAGTCGATACACTAATGCATCTATAGTGATAGCAATTCGAGTAACGTAAGTAGATTGCAGATTTTGTTGCAGAATAAAAATGTTCCGCATCTTTTACAAAATACAAGCGCCAACTATAGTAAATTCTCCGCAATTGTCCTTCGGCTTGTAGACAAAAATGGACAATTTGGGAAGAGGAGATACGATTATACAAGGCCCTTCCCAAATTATCCATTTTTCATTCATAAGCTGGGAATAATATATTAATAATATTTTTTACTGCCTTAAGTTTATTCCGCAAAAAAAACATAAGTTAGTCGTTTACTCAACGCGTACTTAAAATTTGAGATACGGTGCATTACAGCGTAAATCACTACAATGTGAATGTATGTATAAGATTAATATATGTATAATATTAATCATGTATCAGAAAAAAATGTGAGTTTGCTTCTCGATCAATTATAATTTAAACAACAATGCACGCAACGTTAACGTGGTTTTCTTCGTTTAAATCGTGGGATGATATTCGTCGCGAATATGTGTCGTCTATAGTAAACACGTTCACGAAACAATTTCAAGTAATTGAGATAAATAATAATTTCGAATAAACGAGTTTACGACGGACTAATTGTGACCGCGAGAAAGAATTATTGATCGATACGGATCGTGTTTCATTTTCAGCGCATGCCGGAGCGTTAACTTCAGCTGAAGAGCAGATTTATAAACCAATATGATTATAATGAAAATTGTTAAACCACCCTAAACTTCCTGTCGACCCTGTGCGCATAGCTGGTAACGTAATTAATTAGAAATTATGAAAATTACCAGCAATCGTGTATAATTACCAATGCGGGGTGTAGAATATAACCGAGGGAATTCATAAAATTTGCAGATCATTTTACATGCTGACCGAGCTTCCTTCGTGAAATTAATACATTTATGAACTACGGATTTACATAGTTATTGAATTAATTGTTACATTTAATTAACGAATTTTCGTTATTACTTTTTTAACGATTCTTTGCCCCCGCCACGTATTCAAGCGAAGAAACAGAAACACGGTGTACGTTAATTACGTTTACCGAAACCGACGTTAATTAAATAGCATTATATTGGTACATATGCAAAATTCACAAGTTAATTGTATTTACCGTAGTTAATTATGTTCGTCGTGTTTGATGTTTGTTCCATGTTCAATTAATTTTATTAATACGAGCGTATTCGGTCGACACGGGCGAACATCGATACGAGTTTTATTCCGCAATTTTCGACATGTTCGAACGTTGTTTGGACATCGATCGTTGACAAAGTAATGATCTTAACCGGTCTATGACAAGCGACGAATGTGGCCACCGAGCCAACAGCTATGGAGCGAACTATCGCGCCAACGTTTCGCAGTACTAGTTCGAGAACATCTATGTTCTCTATGGAGTTCATTGCGGATATCTAATCCCGCGAGTAACTCATACGATCTCTCGCATCAACACACCCGGGGTTCAATGCCTCTGCAATCTCTATTTATCTGTTTCTCAAGCACACAGAGTTGAAATTTCTTCAGCCGTACCTGTTGATTGCGGGTAAAGAATGCGTTTAGAATATTTTGGCAGAAATTTCCGTATCATTGAAAATAATGATCCAACCGTATACGATTAACTTCGAAATGTTCGACAGAGAGAAACTATTCTGCAAAAAATAATTTTGATACTTTTACTATGAGCAGACTAAAAATGGAAGAGGACAATTTATTTCCAATAAATGTTTATTGGAAGTAAATTAGAATTACAATCAGTATAGCAAAATACGTGGGATCGCGAATATGTTGGAACATGCTGTTAACAATTTAATAATTACACACAGGAAATATATGTTGCTAACAAATTAGCATGTTACAATTCGAAATGTTTTTCATATTGTCAAATTCGGTCGTTTTCAATCAATTGTTAAATATCGAAATGTTGTATACAGTGACTCCAAAAAGTATTTGAACAGACTTTCGAAAAATTGTCAATTGTTAAGTTATTACAACTTCGTAAAATTTTTATCATTCACTTTAAATTATTCTAACATTCAATATCATTCATAGTTTAATAAGTCGTAATGGGGAAATTCAAACGGAGAATTTTCAAATCTATATTAAATTCAGCGATCAACAAAATTTTCTTATGTATTTTTTCATTAAAAAAATTTTTTTTATTTCTTCTATATTTATTACTTCTTTTTTATTTGTCCTATGTACTACATAAAATACTATTGCAATATAAACAATCTTATACGCTCATACAGTTATTATATGCTTAAACAATTACATGTTTCCCTATAATATGTACTTTCAATTTAATAATACACATATTTATCAAAACATCATATTTTACTCCAACATCAACGACACGCAAAGTTTCTTCACTTTTGCCGAAGAATGCTTGTCCCGCGATCAAAGCAGACAATTTTCATTCGACGCAAAAACCCGGCAGTCTAGCTGTAACCGTGGCAAAACTAATTCCAAGTTACGAGCCGAGTGCAAGGATCGTCGAGGGAAACGTACGAACCGTTTAATAACCGATGGCAGAATGAAAAAAAATCTACGAATTCCGCCCTTTGTACATTACAATCGACGTTGTTGCACCCGTCGCGTACGAACAAATTGAATCAATGCGCCCAGCTAAAACTCAGCCATTAAATTCTCGCCGGGCACTCGACAAAAATTTCCGTCCGCGATATCCGCGGCGAAATCCGTACCGGATGACGCAGCGGGGCCAGCGTTTTTCCAGATTACCGTCGGCGCCGGAGCCCTCGAACGCCGCGAACAACAGACGTCATGCATTCGTCCAATTTATTTTCATTCGGTCCGGCCCGTAATAGCCCCGGCTGTCATTACGACACCGGGTCCGGGCCGGCGGCGCATAATTGCCGTTCGATTCGAAATCTATTGTTATTATTAACGTTGTCGCCGTCGGCGTTCACGGGAGCCGGGGTTACATTTATTTGCGCCCGGGCCGGATAAATATTCATAGCCCGGCGACGCCTCTAGTTACACAACAAACACGCGTTCCGGGGCGAGCGTGAATCCGCGTCCCCGCTCTCTGTCGCGTTCGGTTAGGGCCACGGGAACAGCAGGAGCCAGTCGGACGAAACGTTCACGACCCGGGCAAGTTCGTTTGCCAACGGGACCGTTGGAAGTTTCCGGGTGGGACAGAGATAACAGGCTCCGAAGGAAGAGTTCATCGTCGAGCGATTACGAGCCCGTCCATCCCGTCGGCTCGAACGGCTAACACACTTATTGCAAAGGTGTATCGATAATCCCTTGACAAGGTTCGACCGGGGCTGCATTTACCCCCGACAGCGCAGCACGTGACCTTTTGATCCTCCGAAACCCATT